TTTTTTTTAACATCTTTATTGGAGTATAATTGCTTTACAATGGTGTGTTAGTTTCTGCTTTATAACAAAGTGAATCAGTTATACATGTACATATGTTCTCATATCTCTTCCCTCTTTGTCTCCCTCCCTCCCACCCTCCCTATCCCACCCCCCTCTAGCTGGTCACAAAGCACCGAGCTGATCTCCCTGTGCTATGCGGCTGCTTCCCACTAGCTATCTATTTTACATTTGGTAGTGTGTATACGTCCATGCCACTCTCTCACTTTGTCACAGCTTACCCTTCCCCCTCCCCATATCCTCAAGTCCATGCTCTAGTAGGTCTGCACCTTTATTCCCGTCTTGCCCCTAGGTTCTTCTGATCATTTTTTTTCTTTTTCTTTTTCTATTTTTTTTAGATTCCATATATATGTGTTTTTTAAAAAGTTTTTAAAAATAGCAGCTGTATTTTTTAAAAAATAGCTAATACTTAACCAGCACCTCTGTGTGCCAGGCCCTCTCCTGAGTGTTTACACATCAGTACATGGAAAATGTAATCCCCTCCACCGACCCTCGCAACGTTGACTCCATTTTACAAAAAGAAACTTTGAGTCACAGTTGGAAACCTGGGGTCCCACAGCCAGAAAGTGGCCAAGTCTGATTCTGAGCACTTGCTCCCCGTCTGGGAATCTGTCTGCACGGCTGCGTGTTGTCTGAATGCCCAGCACCTGCTCTGCTTATGGGGAAGCAGAGAAGGGCCTGGGAAGCAGCGGAAGCAAGAGATGCAAAAACAAAGACCTCAAAAGCTGGGGGTGGGTGTGAGAGGCTCAGAGGAAGGGGAGGGGAATGGGGTGCAACGAAAACACAGAGGATATCAGACACAGGCAGTAAAGGCGAGATGTGGCATCAGAAACCCAGGGCTGGGTGGTGAGAGAAGAAGCCAACAAGCTGGAAACCACAGAGGTGGCTGTGACGGCCATGTCCCAGGTAGGTGTTTAGAGCATCTGCAGTGGGCTCTGCCTTCTTTGAAGGCTGTGTGAGGGATGGCATATGCGCAGTGCCAGAAGAGCTAAAATGCTGCTCTTAAAATAAAGCAAGCTTAGCACTGGATGGAACCTTAAAAAAACTTAGAGGAGAAAAAAGCCAAGGAAAGCAATAATCAGAAGCTAATTTTCTGAGAAAATGTATTATTGGAACAAAAGCAAAGAACAAACAAAAAAACAAACCCTAGTCCTATTCAATGGGAAGATGATTTGAAATTTTAGCATCAAATGGCAAAGTGAAAATTAGGAAATTGTCCTGGCCAGATGGAACAGACAGACTCATCTCAGTTGAGAATCACAGTGAAAGTGTTGGATACAGGCTCTCTCAGCCTCCCCTGCACCGGCTGCCCCCAGGCCGCCTACCTTGCACGATGAGGTGCACCCGGGAGGTCTTGGGGTGGTTGTCCGTCTGCACAGAGCAGGTGTACGGGCCCTCGTCGTACACGTCCACGTTCTGGATCTCGATGCTGTACTGGGTCTGGGTGTTGCTCAGGAGGACCACGCGGGGGTCCAGACACCACTTGTCATTCCCGGCGTAGAGGATGGTGCTGCGGTTCAGGCGTGTTAACCAGGATGATCACACGAGGGTCTATGGACCACTTGTCATTCCCAGCATAGAGGATGGTGCTACGGTTCAGCCAGGCCACCCGGGTGACCCGGTTGTCAATCGTGCACCTGGAGGGAGGACCAGACGGGTAAGTCAAGGGACCGCAGAGAAACGGGAGCCATCAGGGTCTTCTTGGCAAGGCTGAGATGCCTGGTCACCATGCCTTGTCTTCGTCCCCTGCCCCCAACGTGTACACGCGCACCTCCTGTTTGCTTTGGCCTGGGTGGCACTTTCTGGAACTCAGCGTCAGAGGTCTTGCAGAACTGCAGCCTCAGAACATTGGCTATTTCAGACTTCCAGGTCATGAGTGATTCTGTGCTTCTGAAAACCCCTGAGCACAGGACTATTTCAATACCCCTAACTATTCAATAGTTATAGCCTGGAACCATCATCCATCCTCGGAATGGCTGGGCCCTGGGACTACCCCCATCCTCCCCCGACTCTGGGATTTCCATGATGTGCATGATGATAATCGCTCACATTGCTTTCAAGATGTTCTGGGTGTACTAAGTTGCCCAATACTCAAAACAACCCTGTGAGGAAGGTTCTATTGGTAAAAAGAATTGAAGAACAGAGACACTGAATGCTTCTGGCAAATGGCACAGATAACGTGTGCTAGATCAGAAACCCAGCTTTTAACTACTAAACATTCTTTCTCCCATCTCAGAATAGCGAATTCCAACAGAAGGCTTTTGAAGTCAAAACTAAATATGGACCCACCACCATTGCTATTTCTCCTCATTATGCCCAGGGGCAGAAATGTTCAATTACTGCTAGACTAAAGGCATTTTCCAAAATCTCAAAATGGTTCGTACATGTAAAAATAGACTTTCTTTCTTTTATTTTTGCATCTGGAGTCCCCAAATTGTGGAAGCTCCCTTCTCTTTTCCTGCACTTTCAAATTTCCCAGCTACTCTGGCCAAATCCTCATCAAATCTGTCTGCATTCATTTCCCTCTGTAGCCACAGCGAGTATGTTTTGCGACCTGAGGCTAAATTCACAAACACACTGTCCTGATCCTGGCTATAATGCTGGAAATAGCAACTTAGCCACGGTAGGTACAATGTTGCCTCCAATGTCATCATGCTTTTGCAGGGTACAAAGTACTTTTACATCCACCCTGTCTCATGTGATTCTTGCAGCAAATCGGTGAGATAGATGATCTTACCCACCCATTCTCCACTTTAAAGATCAGGCCTCCAGGGTCAGAAATGGTCTGGTGACTTGCCTCAGGATAGGGAGCTAGGGAGTGATGGAGAGTCAGACCCCTCAGCCAGGTTCTAAGTCCTGGTCCTCGATGCCCCTCAGGATGTGCAAAGGTGAATTTTTCAGGGACGGTTGCTTCCACTGAATTCTCATAATTGTCTGTGACCATAAAAAGCCTGAGAACTGCTGCTGAGTACACCAGCTTCCCCAAGCAGTCCCTCTCGAGATGTGCTCTCCAGTGCTGTGCATCCTTTCCACTTGTACTTGTGTAAATGTCACATGATCATTGCCGGGCCTCTCGGGCACAGGTGGAAAGGCTTGCTGAGAGGCCCTGTAGGGAAAACTGCTCAACCAGAAACCCCTCTGCTCAGCTGTCCAGCTTGCTTTGTGCTGCTTATTGCGTCTTTTGGACAACAAAGGATAGAAATGATGGGAAACCTGACCAGGGGAGTATTTCTGAAAGTGGGCACGGACCACTTGCATCAAAATCACATGAAGTGATTTTGTTACAGATTTTCTTGTCCTACTGATTCAGAATCTTTGGGAACTCAGAAACATGAATTTCTAACAATACCCCAGCTGGGTCAGACACCCACCAAAGTTTGAAAAGCACTGGGGTATATAGCAGGGTATCCAGGACCAGCTGCATAACTTGTGGATCTCAGTGCAAAACGCAAATGCAGAGTCCTTTGTTCAAGGACTATTAAGAATTTCAAGATGGTGAGAGCAGGGCATTTAACAAGTGCAGGGTCCTATGCGAATAAACACACACCCTGAAGGGATGTCCCACATTTCTGTGCTTGTAACTCTGTTCGGGATCTCACTTAAATATGCATTCTGATTTGGAAGGTCTGGGGTGGGGCCTGAGAGTCTGCATTTTTCGTAAGCTCCCAGGAGATGACAATGCTCATGGCCCCCAGACCATCACTTAAGCAGCATAAACCTAGAGGGAATTGTATGCACGTGAGGGTTTGAGAAGCACTGAGCTAGCCCTTCACTATGTGAAAGTGTGACCAGAAAACCAGCAGGTCATCATCGCTGGGGAGCTTGTTTGAAACACAGACTCAGGCCCCGCCTCAGATGTAATGAACGAATCTGCATTTTCATAAGCTCTCCAGTAACCAGGATGCACATGTGGTCTGGACTGGTCTGGAGTGAACTCCAAGACTTGCTGTCGGCTGTGATAACAATATCCTGAACATACCATGAGACTGAGCAAGCGGTAGGGAAGAGCAGCTGATGCAGGAAGCTGGGGCTCCCTGATGCTGTACTTGCCTCGCACACCTGACGCTCGTCCTCTCAGGCTACCTCACTAAAATGTGGATGTGAACCACCATGGTGTGAACCCCCTTAAGAACAACACACTCCACGGCTGGCTTTGCTAGCAATGTACCTGGGATGTCATTCATATTCATGACTTTAAGGGCAGTCACTGCTCTGAATTTTGCTTGGATCCAAGGGGAGGAATTGGTGAAATTCATATTCACAACTGATGTTTATTGAATGCATATTACTATATGCTAGGTATCCTGTGAGTCTATGATATGTGCTATTTTATCATCTTAAAAAAACTTGGTTGCATTCACCTATTATGGCCAATTTACAGATGAGGTTAACTCAGTCTAAGAAATATTATCCAAATAAACTAAGATCACCCTGCAGAACCAAGATTCAAACCCAGTTTTTGTTTGTTTGCTTATTTTTCCCCAAGGTCAGTGATCTTAAATGTCCTTATCCAGGGCTTCCCAAAAGTCCCTACAACATTGAAATTCAACTATCTGTAAGTCCTGACAAAGTACAGATTGCTGGGCCACTACCTGGTCTGGGGACCCCAGTTTGAGAACCATTAATTTAGACATTTCACTGGTTTCTGGTGACATGAGAGCTGCAGCGCAAGTGGGCACTAGGAAGTGACTCTCATTTGAAACACTTTTCCACTACTTTACGGGAGAGAACTTTCTTGCAACCAATGTGCCCTGGGAAGCCAGAAGCAGAGTCCCGTTTATTTTGTCCTCCAGCAGCTGAAATCTGACCAAACACCAGGTGAGTGGCAGTGGGGCAGGAAATGCTGATCAACAACCTCTCAACTGCTTGAATAATTGTTTCTGCTGCCCACGATGGGGGCATTTCACAGCCTCTCGGTGAACACGAGAGGACCGTCCTGGGCTTCCTTGTGAGTGTCTAATGACTGGAAATTCAATGAAACGGAAGTGGTCTCACCACACTGCACCGCACTCACAGGGCCAAAGATGTTCATTTGCAGAAGCACTCATGCTCCAACACAGCCAATTTCAGCACAGTTATGCGGCCCCTGTGATATACTACGCTGAAAAGCTGGCATAGCTTCCGCCCTGGTTTGGGGCACATCGAAGGTCATGATTAGATGTCCAAACTGTCATTGCTGGATATCAGTCTTGCTGTGTCTCCACAGAATTAATGTGGCTTCTGAGAGATGAATCACAAAGGTAACTTGGTGGCCAACTCCTGCCACCTCCTCATACCTGCCCTCATCTATCTGTCTCATTTACAGAACGATACACAGGAGACAATTCTCCAAGTATTAAGAAAAAAAAGTGGACACGAGCATAAGTGCACTCTCAGGCAGAGCTGATGCTTTGGTTAGTGGGGAGTTGGCGGGGAGACCAGGTGGGAAATTCAGTCAACAGGTTCCCTTTTTCCAGAGACAGCCCTTAGTTCACTTCTACAGAATTACTCCTAAGACACATGTATTTCATGCTAGTTCAGCTCCCTCAGGAAGGGGATCAACTATAAGATTAACTGGAAGTGAGTAAGGTTTCAAACTCAACCCTCCCTAACTAATCCAGATAAGTGTAACAAGACACGGCCATTTGCCACTGAGGAAAGAGTCAAAGGTCAGCCTAGGGCAGGCCAGGAAGAGAAGTGGAGCGTCAGAAAGGATTGGAGAGGCCCTGGCCCAACCCTGAAGATCTCCACCCCTTCCCCCCACAGTCTTGAGATGCACTAGGCACCCACCCTGAGCACTCTCTCCTCCGTCCGTCCCACCACGTATGCAAAGACTAGAGGAACAACCTCTGCACACGCAGGGCTTCTGGACTGAGCCCTGGAACTCCCCAAACTCTAAACATGTCTCCTCTCAGGGCCTCAATGCCTGACCTCACTTGCATCCATACTCGAGCCAGGGCCCATCAACTTTCCCTATATCTGTAAGCGGCCCTCCCCTCCCACCGGGCTGGCGGCTCTCCCCTCCTGTGTGTGGTCCCCATGGACAGCCCACAGCCTGGCCTATGCAACATCCTGACAGAATCCAGACAGAGAGAGAGTGCCTGGGAGGGACAGGCTCGTTTACCATTTCACTGCTGAGCGAGTGTCCTTCTCAGTCTGTCTGTCTGCACCCTGCTCCCTTCCTTGGAGAAACTTCTTACAGAGAACAGGCCTGTTTGAACACAGGCCGTCAAGGGCATCTAGCCTGCACAGATCATCAATGCATTCTCTTTGATGATGAGAAGCCTCAGGTGTGGCTGACCAGAAGGGGACCATCCACAGGCAGCCACGCCAGGACACGCACCTGAGCACAGTGCACGGTGGAGAGAACTGACACACCTGAAATTTTCTGCAGCTGCACCGATTGTGCCGAAGCTCTAAAAATGCAGCCCTATGTGCCCTTCATCTCCTGCTGATGAATAGTGGCTTTATTACGGTTGCTGCATTTGTACATAGAGGAATAGCAAGAAAAATGATTAAGCAAGGCCAGCATGAGTGCGGCAGAGATAAAACATGGAAGTGTGGATTCGGGGCCTCGAGCTACTTTTGGATTTTGGAGGAAAGGAGAAAAAGAGACAGAGACAGAGAGAGAAAGGGGAACCTGGAAATTGGAAGAAAA